GAATGAGAAATATAACAGAATAAAAATAGGTTATTACCTAGCAAAATATAAATTCAAGGTATAGTTATTTATTATAATCCATGTCATTCATAAAATATGTACATTTGGTATAATTTCATAAATATTCAGAAATTACCTTATATAAAATAAAATAAATAACAGATATGATAAAATTATTAGGACAATTATATATTTTAGTTTAAAAATATTTACATTTCTTCATTCTATTCATTATATTTGCATATATATTGTCACATGTACTAAATTAAATATAGTACATTACATATTCTTTATGTTTTTTCCATCTATATTACAAAGCTCTCTTATCGAGTTATAAATCATACTACTTTCAATGAGCCTCTAATTATGAAAAATTATTTTTATATATTTACATGAAAAAAATGAATGCTTTATAAAACTCAAATAAATCACATTACATAACTAAAGGAAAATACATTAGCATAATCATATTAGAAAATATATAAATATTAATAATAAAATCTAATGCTGCTAAAATGATAAACCTGAACACAAAACTCTAAACCCTGAACCCTAAACCTTGAATATACTTCTTCATTCTATTAAATAATTATAAATTTAAAATAAGCGGAAAACGACTTTATGATATATATGTCAAAAAAAACATAATATATAACTGAACATTATATTTTCTCTGTTGCAATAAGTTCAGATTTTTCGATAAGCATAATCTAATCAACATATGCATGGTATTTATATGTTAAAATATATTTAAGTAATCATAAGATATAAAATATACTGTGTTACAATTACACATTAATTATTATGCAAAAATAAAACATGTGGATACATTACGTACATATAATTGATATTTATCATTTAGACAAAATATATTAAACATAATACAACAAAGCATATATAACTAATAAATTATTACAATTAAAATGAATCAAAAAAAAATGAGAATTGTAAAATAAATTCTAAACTATGAACCTATAACTTCCATTTATATTTCGACATTTTATAAATTTAAAAACTGAGAACTGAAAAAATGGAATAATTCATATTTACCGTATTAATATTCTAACATCATGTTTTAATGTTTTATATTTGAATACTTTTTACAATGTTTAGTTATATTCATAAGGCATTATAATAATTTATACATATATCTCTTAAAAAATATTATCACTAAAAAATTTGTTAGAATATATAAATCAATTGCTTTATATATACTTTTTTTAAGCATATAAAATCATAATAAAAATATTAATTAATCCTTATAATATATGTTTTCATGTACAATTTAATATAAATATTGATGAACTATATATTTTCATCATTTCACTTGTACTCATATTTTTATTTATTTTATTAGTATATTTTATATTTAAATTTAAATATTAATATATAAAAATTAACACTAATTAAAAATATTCCAGTATGATAGTATATAAAAAATACTTTTTACGCACTTTCCCATAAATTAAGATTATTATTTACTTTAATATTGATTTTATTACAATAAAAATTAAAATTATTTATACTTTTAATATTAGTCATACAATATTTTATTAATATGATTATATAAAAGAAAAGACATGTATCACATGTTATTTAGTTTTTGGGATACCAAGAAAAATCAATGAGTTCTTACGTATACAGAATCTTCAAATGTATTACTTTGTCAAAGCATTATTACCTTAATCCGGAGTTTTTTTTTTTTTGTAAATATTAAATGTTTTTAAAAAATCATAATTTTAAATATTTCAAATCATGCTATTTAGTGGAGAAGATTGGAAAAAATTTGGTGTAATGTCAATCAATTAAAACATTTTTCATCATTAGATTTATTAAATTTTTAATTAATTGATAATATTTTCTATCTTATATTCTTCAAGGTATATATATAATATTTCATTTTGTTGTGCCTTTGATTTAGCAACTTTCCATATCATTTAGAGATGATTTACCTTCAGAAAAATTCTATAACACTTTAGATGAATTAAAGGATATAACTAAATACAAGGAACACTGTGCATCGTTAACTTCTATTAAAGCTGAATCCGCTGTTAAAAACGTTTGTGCAAAGATTTTAAAATATTTAAGTAGTAATGAAAACTTAATGAATTATTCCAATGCCTATGATATATGCCGACTTTTAAATTATTGGTTAGCCAATAAATTGAGTGTCATTGTGGGTCATCAGGGTAAAAATTATGTATGGACTATTTTTGCAAAAATTACCAACATATGGAACGATTTTATTGAAGATACATTGAAGAAATCTTATACTGAAACATGTTTTCCTCTTATGAATGAAATTCTTCCTGAGGATTGGAAAAAGAGGAAGGAACTATATGAATACTATGTTGATTATGATACACTTAAAAACATGTTTTCATACAAAATAAATGATAAGGATTACTGTACACTCATTAAAAACAAAGTTTTATTATATAAATATTTTAAAAATTTTTGTAATTCATACGAAACAGAATTCTGTAATGAATTTAAAGCTAAATATGAAGCGTGTAATCCAAATGAACTTTTACAGAAATTTAAATGTAAAAATGAATTGGCGGAAATGATGTTATTAGAAGAAAAGTCAGAAAGAGAATTACACCAGGGCATATTATCTGAAACACACATTCTTGAAAATGAATCGCGTTATCCTGGATTATTTACAAAAGGAAAGCAAAATCTAAACGTCATACAGAAAATATCTAATAGTTTTAGTCCTCTAAAAAAGTCAGGAGCTGCAATATTGGGAGTCCTTGCTATATCCATGATTTATGGATTATTATATAAAGTAAATAGAAGGTTCATTAATTTACATAAACGGTATATATTTGTTTGTATGTTACATTCCATTTATAGCTATGAATAATAAATAAACATATTGCGTGATTTATGTAACATGCATTTATATTAAAGTTTACGCCCCTAGGAAGTTGGATCCGTAAAAGATTTGCTAAAAATAATTATAATAGAATTAATATAAATTCTGAGTTTAATGGAGAATTTAATTATGCACAAGAATTATATAATATACATTATAACCCAAGAGATGAACATTATATAGGATATCATTCCGAATAATTTTTCTTATAATCAAATAGTTAATTATGAAGATTTAACGAAAATATATATGAACTAGTACAAAATACATATTTTAAAAAATATTTCAGTTCATATAAGTATATATTTATATAATAATTAAAATTCTATATATGTTAATTACAATATTCTAAGAAATTTTATATATAGTACGGGAATGATAGAAAAAAAACAAAAAAAAAAAAAAAAATTATACAGAATAAAACAATAAAAATGACAACACATATAATTACAAGAATGAAAAAATTATACATAAAATATATTTACATTATTTAAATCAGAAGTTTAATTTTAATTATAATTTTCCCCCATAAAATATAAAACATTTATATCAAAACAATACACTTTAAATTATTTACTGGACACCGGTACAATGTATATAAATATGCAATGTTAGACAATACTATTTTTCATTTCATCATATATAAATACCACAGTTTTGAAAAAGCTAAAAATTTTACTTCACATTATATTAATATTTTAATGATAATTTGAGACTTACGCACATCATATAATTGGAGGTTTGCGTTTATTTATACAATGAAAAATATAATGAACTATTTCTTTACAATATGTAGTATATTTAAGAACATATAATATTCACTATATCTTAAAAATAATGTATAATTTAATGTATTATTTTTTAATACTTTTTAAATGTTTTTTTTTTTTTTCAGTTAAGTACATGTTATATTAATAATAAAAAAAAAATACACTATATTATAATGTACATTTTATCTCTTTACTGAAAAAGAATTTAAAAAACATTATTAATTATAGTTAAAAGTCAATATAATTTTAAATTAATTTAACTAGTGTTTATTTTTACATATCTAATTTGTGTAAAAATATTATAACATATTAATCAATAGTGACTTATAATGTTCATTTAACTTGAAATATTGTAAAATTTAGTAAATATTTATATAAATATGTATATTACATATATTACCACAATAAAACATGTGCTGATGTGTTTGATAGTTCTAATCATGTTTAACAACCCTAAAAAACAACTCAATATATTAATATATATATGATGTATAGTGCAAATATGGATACCGATTTCTTTTATTTTAATATTAGTTAATTATAAAATTTGGAAACAGAATTTGATAAGGAGTAAATTTATTCTAAATATGTTATTTTTACATTATTTATTTAATTAATTATACATATAAAAGCATTATACTTATACAAAATATTGTTTCTTCATATCTTAAGAAGAATTTTTCAAGAATGTAATTGATATATGTTATTGATTATATATAAAAAAATAACATAACTTTATAATTTTTGTTATGTTATAAATTAATATTTATTATAATGTATTATGTATATATGCGATTCTTTAGACTATATTTCTAATTATATATGAAAAATGAATATATTTTAAAGGAATACTAAAATCAAATATTTATGTATCATTATCCTAATAAATTTAAATAATCTATGTCCTATATTAATATTGTGATATGTGTAAACATTAAAATTATTTTTATCAGTATTTTCTACTTTATTAAAAGAAATCTAAAAACAAAACCTAATATATTATGTTTTAATCATTCAGTAATAATTATAAATATAAATAAATTTACACACAATATTTAAAAATATATTTTTTTAAAGCAATATATAATCTTTTAATTAATGTATATGAAAAATATTTTCTAATATTAAAATATATATATGCATTAGAAAAAGAATATATTTGTAAATGTATAACAATTAATAGATACCACATTTTTAAAGATAAATATATTGTATGTATTTAAGATGTTGAATTGAATAAAATGTTCTATAGAAATATTTAAAAAAAAATAATAAAATGAATATATACTAATTTTATTTATATGAATGTTTATATTTTTGTTGACTCATTAGATATATAAGACTAATACCATTATTAAGCATATTTATGTCTTATTTTATTATAAAAAAAATGTTTACAATTTCTAATTTATTCATGTGATATATTTAGTTTTATATATGAAAAGTAGAATCTTTCTATCTGTACATTATCCTTAGCTGTTCTATTTTCATTTTTAACATTTTTATACTATAATGTTAAATTGTATAATTATAAATTCCATGAATTAATAATAATATTTATGTATAAAATTCATTTTACTCATATTTATATCATTATCAATATTGGTATTTATTTGACATTAATATTATATATTTATATTAGATAAACTATAATTATTAATATTATAAGTATGAATTCTTTTATTTTTGTCCTATAATGACGTTATATACTTTTAGATTAACTATAAATTAAGCTATAAATATATATATATATTAACATTATTTTTTAATATTATAAAAAATATGTGAATTGAATAAGCTGATCTGCAAATATGAATTTGCGATTATAATAGTATCATGATATTACAAATATAATTTATTGCATTTATGGTACTATATGTCAAATATGTATAATCAGCTTGATTTTAATTTTGAATACATGTTTTTTATTACTTTCTATTAATATATTCAATATATATATATGAAAATCTCGTTAATTTTCTTGGGAAATTTTATTAATAGTTCAGTTTTAATTATATAAATATATCCAAATTAACTTATTCGTATATTATTTAAACAATTTTATGCTTGGTAAGAATATATTCCTTTGAAAACTCTAATTGTTCTTTTAAAATACAAATAATAAAATTAACTATTTTTTATATGTACATTTTTTTTATACTATTTTATATTAAGCTACATGAAAATTGTGTCAATAAGTATACATTTTATATTTTTTTATTTAATGTATTATAATATTTCTTCT